TTTGATTTCATGCACTTTAGAAGACAAATTGTGAACTTTGAAACGACAAAGTTTCCGTTTTTCTTTATTATTATTATTATTATTATTTGTTTAAACGGATTACTTTGCGAGAGATTAAAAGGATTTTCCAATATTTTACTGAAAGAATTTTTATTATATCCGTCTTATCTCTCCTTATAAATAATTTTATAGATTTTTGAATCTATATATAATTTATGATACTTTGTAATTATATAAATAATTTTACAAATTTTTGAACCTTCATGTAATTTATGATACTTTGCAATTATATGTGGAATAATTTATGCTTTGGAAGAAGTTAGAATAGAACAATTACTAGTACAATACCCGTGTACTACACGGATAATTGATAAATAATTAAATGTACAATTAAAAAATATATACTTAATTGAAGTTGGAAAAAATTAATAAAGAACAATATATAACATTTATAATAAATAACTAAGTGAATTAACAATATTATTTTAAAATTTGAAAACTAATTTATATACCTCATTAATTTTATTTATAATATTTTTATTTAAAACACATAAGCGAATAATATAAACAAAGCACAAAATTTAGAAAGTAAGATTATATGCATATTATACAAAGAAGATAGTAAATAGATTTATTTGCAATGGTTTAAATATATTAAATATGTGTATATATATGGTAATCCGAACCTAAGTTATTTGGTATAAAAAATTAGAAATTTTTATCCAAGCCATATTACAAAACATAATTTTGCATGTAAGATTACGAAGCATGCGAAGCTGCCACTTAGACTCAGCATGTTCAGAAATTATATAAGGTGAATAGGTCGTTAAATGACTCAACCATCTATAACAATGGCATAACTAGTATCGTACTAGTAATTTTAAACGGTTGAACGTGATAACGTAAAATTTTATTTTTGATCCATTATATTAGTATCTTTCAAAATAAAGGTACATCATATATTGACATACATCAATCTTAGTACGTTAATAAAAAAAAAAAAAAAAACATACAAAATTATACACTAATAACGAAGGGCGTGATAAAATTGGTTGTTTCATGCTCGACCTAGTTCTGGCACCATCCCACGTCCGCTTCAGGTGGGTGACTCAACGTTATTTTTTCTCGTCAAAACTAGCGTACACACTAATTTTTATCCTAATTGAAATTCCTTTGCTCACTCAATTTTCCATTCGAAATAATTTATACTATTTTCTGTTTGGTTTAATTCAGCCGCTGTCCAACATTAGTTTTAAGTTGGTGACGCATCATTGGATTTTTTCATCGAGACACTCGTTCCCACTGAATGCCATCCCAATTGGAGTTTATCTTTATATTCAAGAGGAATTTACACCTCATACTATCAGATATGATTAATATTACACTTTTACCTCTATTATATTCTTAATTATAAAATTAGTAAACAAAGTTATAAATATTACAATTATACCTAAAATAATTGTGTGACTGTTATTAATGAAACTTGGGTAAATTAAATGCAATTGATTTCCGGTCAAAGATAATCACTCTGCAAAAAAATCGTTTATATAATTGAAGAGTTATCTCTCTATAGAGACCCTACTTCCATGCTGTTGATTTGGCTGCCGCACCATCAGCCTTCCCTGAAGAGGACAACATATTCTGTTGGAATACTGTCTTCGAAGGAACTGAATATAAACTCTCTCTTTCATTCCCATCTGACTATCCTTTTAAGCCTCCTAATGTTAAGTTTCAGACAGCTTGCTTCCACCCGAACGTCGATGTTTACGGGAATATATGCCTGGACATATTGCAGGATAAAGGGTCATCTGCTTATGATGTAGGACAATGTTGCTATCTATTTAGATTTCAGAGTTTGCTAGGAGAGCCGAATATAAGTTCACCACTCAACACACAGGCAACAGCACTTTGGAGCAATCAAAAAGAGTACATGAAGATGGTGGAGAAATTATACAAGCCGAGTTCTTAGGAAACTTCCTTACCCGATTGGATGAGAGGGAGTGCTCCGTTCATATGGTTTATTTGTTCATCATGTTCTTTTCAATTCATTTTAGAGTTGTAGGAGTGATCTCTTTTATTACATCTAAGGGGAGAAAATATTGCTTTGAAGATGAAGTTTTCAGTTTTAGGTAAAATATTGCTTTTGTTCAGAGCTGAAATTTTTAGAAATGTGTTTTGGCTACCCTTAATTCTGCTCATATTTTTGTTGGCTCTGAAAAAAAATATTGCTCCAGGCAGGCAAAAAGTTGTTTCTGAGAAATGTTTTATTTTATAGTTTATGTTTCGTATAATAGAAGATTTTTTTGTTGAAAATGAATTTCACAAAGCATAAACTAATTTTTATGTATAAAATCAGTTTATATTCATCATAAACTAATTTTTAGTTGTTGTTGTTGTTGTGTATATGTATGGTTTATATTAATTAACATGTTATAATATGTTTATAAACTATATATATATATATATATATATATACTTTCATGTATAAAAGTTGTTCTTAACAAAAAAAATGAAGACATAATTTTTTGATGAAACACATGTTTTTCATTGCAATATATATTGAATATATACTAACATAAACTCAATATATACCACATGACAGCTGTGTGAATTAAAATCAGTTTATATGTATGGTTTATATTAAGTATATTTTCGGTATATGATAAAGAAATTTATCGCGAGACATAATTTTTAAGAAAGACATAATTTTTTGATGGAAGACATGTTTTTCATTACACCATCTACTCAATATATAATAACATAAACACAACATATGCCACATGACTGATGTGTGAATTAATGAATTGAAGTTGCGCGAATTAAGAAATTAAATGAGTCAGTTATTTATTTTCAACCCATAAAAAGGGGATGGAGGTCAGTTATTTATTTTCAACCCATAAAAAGGGGATGGAGGTGGGAAGGATATGGTAACCGCCTTTAAGCATTAATATAGATAAATAAGATTTTTTAGGTAGAGACATAATTATTTAAACTTGTATGGTAAAGTTACAATTAATTTTAAATCACATAGCATAAATAAAAATTTTCCTTTTTATAAAAAATAATTTGGGCTAAAATTTGTTGTTTTCTACTGTGGGCCATTTTGGTGTCATCCTGCGTAAGTTTCAGCCAGGAGATTGAACGTTGGATTTGTGATGTCGAGACGGTCATAGCAAAATCAAATTTTGTTTCCCCAATCAATTTTTCATTTCGACCCAATTCTAGTGTTGTCTAATGTCTTTTCCAAGTGTATAACCCCGCCAAATCAAATTTTGTTTCTCCACTCAATTTTTCATTTAAAATAATTTGATTTTTTATATGTTCAACTTTATTCTAGTGTCGTCTAATGTCTATTTCAAGTGTACAACCCACCGTTGAATTCTCCTACTTGAGACGACTGTATACACAAAATTTTAACCAAGTTGGTATTTGTTGTTTAATCAATTCTTCATTCATAGTTACATCCACAAACTTAATTTCCATCCCGCGTCCATCAATCACAGGATAAACTAAATAATCTAACATTTACTATGTCCCACATGATTAGTGTATTTTTTTTATATTTTTTATAAATTAATATACTAATTTTGATGTCTGTCAATATACAATTATTTTTTCTGAAAAAAAAGACCAATATAATGTATAAAAAATAAAATTTCCCAGTGTAGAAGCCAGAACTTAGTAAATAGTATTTGGAAGAGTTTATTTATGTATTTATTATATCATATTATTCACTCAAAATTGATGCAGGGAGCATCTTCCCGAGAAATGTACCATAAAAATGTAAAACCTTTACAAGTTCAATATCTATTCATACAATTTTGCAAAAGCTTTACGGACCAAAGCTTGATAGGAGTAGAACTACTTCAGTACAGTTATGTCAACTTTCATTATGTGGTTTTTTGAGTTTTTCAAGATGATTAAGCATCATTCATAAACCAAAGGAGAAAGATGTGTCCTAGAATTTCTGTGTTCGCCGAGGCTTTGTCTGTATGATCTCGAGTCATGCAATTTGAGTTGTTTATGGACCCAAGGAGGATCGTTGTCTGTGAGCCAGAGGACCTCACCTGTATCCTTGTGCTTAAAGTCAGGCCATTTCGGGTTTGGTTTGGAGTTTCTATTGTCCCACCACTCGAATGGGCTTGCGAAGAATATCTGCCACAAATGAAGACGATCTCTACGCTTCTGCAAGATTTCCTCGTATGGAACTGCCGATCGTAACATATATTCAACAAAAAGCAGGAACAGTAAAATTGACGAACAAAAAGGAAACAGGGAAACGAGAATTGGCAAGAAAAGAGGGAGAAAAAGAAGATAAATACAAATTTCGAATGGCATATATAACATATGCCGTCAGAACCCAAAAGATTTATGAAAATAAGTTATCCATCATAAAAGGTAAAAAACACATTATTCATGCTTTCAAATGATCTTAATTGCTTGGTTTTCCAAAATACAGTTACAGTGCACTAAGCAGCAAAAAAATGTGAATGTTCAGACAGTAGTCAATTTTAGCAACATGTAAAAGAAACCATATACCTTTTGGTCCCAACTTTACAAGGTTCTTGTAGGCTGGCCCCAGACCATCTTGACTAACAAAATTTACCTCTCTAACAACTACCTACAAGTGAAAATTTCACCATACAATTATATAACATCCATTCTATAGAAAGGAAAAAATGAGTACATATAGAAGGAAAAATTGAGGTGCACTTGTAAATTTTAAAAAAAAAAATAATGTACTCTTGTGCCGTTCTATATGATACATTTATGTTAGGGATACTAGGGATCAAGTAAATGTGATAAAATCGAGTCTGATATGATCAGTTAACTCGTGGAGAAGAAACAAGATCTATCTGAACCCATTCTGTGTTGATGTACTCCTTTTAATGAGAGCTAATAATAAAGCAGCACTGCAATGTGCAACCCATTTGCTTATATCTGACATTGGATTAGAAAATTAACGGAGCTTGCTAAGGAGAACTTCGTATCAAGGGTTTTTCACACTAAAAAGGAAGCGAAAAATCAGAACAATAACCTTTTTATGTCAGAATTTGATCCTGGAAACATAACATTGTTAAAAAAATTATATTAACATATCTGCATGTCACCATGCCCAAGACCGAACCATTGAATAATGTCTCCTTGATGTTGACGTATGTATTGTATGAAACGCGCAACCGTGCAAATAAAACTTAAGTTGTTTGGAACAAAGTACTTGACAAAAACTAAACACACACAAAGGCTGGAGAGGATTCAACAAACATGCATCGTTAGTACACAGAAATCATCGGACATGGTAAAGACACCTTCATAAGTTGAAGATCAATAGCTTGTTCACAGAAAACATTGAACTTCATAATGAAGTAGGCAATAAGCCAGAAGGATATGAGCTTTCAGTGATATTGAATATTTGTTACAACTCAGTAGTTCAAACTTAATCTCCTGTGGCTTTCAATACCGAGCATGTCACCAATTTGACATGAAGCGATATAATCGTGCAATATTAACCTTACATGTATGTACTGTTTGATTTTTAAGTAACACTAAAAAGTTTTGCCAGAGTTAATGTTCTTCTCAATTCATAGAAATCGAACAGAAGTATCATTATTCAACTCAATAGCATGACAACCATTACCATCCACTTTGGCAGCCATCATGACTACAGAAAAGATTGTTTAATGACATAGAAAATCAAATTCCCACAAGCTAACTGAGCTCTATTCCACACAAAGAACTGAGTGGTGATTTCAGACCACCTAAAATAACAATATGTCTATTAACTCATAATAGTGAACATAGCAACAGGAGAATTTCAAACTGCTTAGAAGTATAGTACTTTCCATTAATAAACTTTATCTCCTCAATTAAGAATGCCTTACTGTTTGTGAATAAGCATTTCACAACCAAATTAAATAATGATCATGCTGAAAGGTTTCTTCAATGAGTGTCAATGTTAACTAGCTCGGCTTTCAAAGATCTGACCTGGTAATCAAATCAGAAGAATGACTTCAGGATGCTGATGATAAACAAGCAAAAACTGTACAGGCCAAATTTCTTGGAAAGTCTGTTCAACTATAGTTTTTTGTCTTTCTGTTTGCTGTTTTTTCTCAAGACAACAATACTATAAGGCAATAACCAGCCACAAGACAAGATCTAGAAAGGTTTCATTAAAGAACATATTGGAACATATTGGATATCGTACCAACTTCCTAAGATGTAAGACTAAGGACGTTCTAGAATTAACATACTTGTCCTAGAATGCATGGTCACAAAATACACAAGACGTCAATATCATTTCCTATAACATTTCTTGATTACAACCATCAAGATTCAGAATATGCCACGAATTATCCCTCCAGTGGTATTGCTACTACCCATGTAAGTCCACAGGTCATGATTCAAACACGTAATTCACTTTCTATGTTCTTATTCCCCCACTCCAGCTCCTCCCATAAATATTATTTGTAAAAGAAAAGGAAAAAAGAAAAGAAGGGAAAAAGAAAACCAATTTTCAGCCATTTCAAACCTGATACCGGTGCATTGACTTCCCATTCTCATCAGCCTTCATGTACGATCCTAGACAACCGGAAACGTACACTAAATCATTAAGCTTCAGATGCTGGAGCGTCATCTCCGCAATTTCATCCCGAAACTTGAGCAATACACTGATAGTAGTCATGCATATGAAACCAAAAATAACAAAAGAAATACTCAATAAAAGATAAAAAACAAAAGAAAAAAAAAAACAAAAACAAAAAACATAGGGATAGAAGGATCGCTCACCTAAAGTTGCCAGTGGACGCACTAACATTAAGGGTCGTGTAGACGCCGAATCTTTTGGAGTTACGTTCTTGGAGAGGCTGAAATATTCGACCAATTAAGCTCACTGAGTTGAGCAATCTCTCGTCATATCTAATGGTGGATGGCCGCTGGAGCTTGAGAGCCTCCTTGTAGACGGTGCTTTCGCAGTCGGACGAATCAGAAACCTCTGTGAAGCGAGTCCACGGACACTCTATCAGGGCAGCGGAAGTTGAGAAGAGGCGGAAGGGGATTGAGGCGGTGCCCTTGAATTGCCGCAGTTGGAGACGTGCAGCCGCCATGGAACTCAATTTGGTAGGTATTGCAGTTGGGCGGTTGCAAGTAGATCCATAGTTTAGGTTCAGCTCTCTTCAAAATTCGGGGGCTATGAATATGATCTGTTGTGCCCTTACTTGCACCGTCCCTAAAAATGGCTCGTTTATTCAAAGGGTGGAGGGAGATGATTGTTGGGGATCCACTTTTATTTAGGCAAAATTGTATATAATATCACCTTTATCGTGATTGTAAATTAATCACGAGCTTTCAATTTTTGTACAGAATATCACGACCTTCAATTTCTTGCAAAACAATACACGGACTTCATCAGCTGTTAAAAAAAAGCTGAAGTGGCATCCAAAACGACACCTCAATTGCTGAGTTGTATTTTCCATCCGAATTTCTTTTCCACCTCATCCCTAGACGGCGTCGTTTCGTCTGGCGTGGAAAATCTTGATTTTTTTTCCACCTCACACAGAAACGACGTTGTTTCTCATTCAATTAGATTATAAATTTGAATCAGTTGAGGAAGAACCCTAATTTGACGATCTGAGGAAGAACCCTAGAAGAAAGTACTCTGAGAAAGAACCATAGAAGAAATTGGGACGGTTGCTCAGTTAAGAAGACAACTTCGACACTATGTCGACTGATTCCAACTCATATAGGAGGACAAGTTCGGCAGCAACATTCCCGACTTCAGCAATTCCGAAATTAACATGTCGACATTTAGAAGAGCCCGGTCTTCTCACCTCTCATATTGATCTGAATCCGGCTAGGAGGTACTGGTGTAAATATCGAATGGTAAGTGAAGTGTAATTTATGTTTGTATGTTCAACAAACTGAATGAGGATCTTCTTAGTGATGAACAAAATTAGTAGAACAGACGATGTGTTTTGTTTGTATGTAGCTTGTATTTTCTGAGGATTCACATAAGGATGGAGGTTTTGTGTGTTTTATGTTGGAAACAGACAAGAATGGGGGTCTTATTGATGAACAAAATTTGGTTAGCTTGTATTTAGACATCTTCTGTAAGAGATGAAAGCTAGATATCTTACTGTTCATTGCACATTCAAGTAGCTTGTATTTCTGTTGAAGTTGATGTACTGCACCTATATATTTTTTTTTACAGAATTTTGAAGTTTCTGTTGAAGTTATTATTTCTGTTCATTGCACATTACAGGATGATGATTGTAAATTTTTTCGTTGGTTTGATCCCGAGCTCCTACCCTTCCAGAAAGCTAGTTATTTGAAGTTGAAAGGTCAAGTTCAAGTGTTGGAGGAACAATTGAAATGCAAAATGGTGATGGAGAAACTTTTGTCTGAAAGATTAGAAGTGAAAGCCAATGAGTTGGATCTGTTGAAAATGAAAAATGCTGATCTTCAGAATAAAATTGCAACAGGGGAAAAAAACTGACAAGAAGTGGCTGATTTTAGTCATTATGTTTTTGTTAGCCATGTGGTTTTTTGGTGTGTCTAATGAAAAGAAGTTAATGCTTAGGTAGCTTTGAACAAGGATATTATATTTGTTTTTATATGTTGTTCTGAGAAAATGGTAACCTTTAGCTGTAACGTCCCAAATCAGTAATAATATTAAGAACGGTTTCACTGCTCGACTATAAGTGAAATCCGTAATTTTCAGAATTTTCTGAGTTATATTTTATATGCTAAATGCTCAAATATAATAGATTATTCTTTGGAATATTCTATATCAAGTTTAAGTCAAGATCAATCCATTAATTTGGGTTGTTAAATTATAGATATTCAACTCGAGAATTTATTCGGCTTCGAACTCTAGTTTGGCTCCGAGCCATTTTTCTAGTTAATTCCGAGCATAGCCGAGTCTTGGTATTTTTATACTTAGAATATTTTCTAAGTGTATAAGAATATCAAAGTAAGCCTTGGACATTTCATAGTCAAACCTTACCACCTACCCGAGCCATGCGTGTCGAGCCCCGAACCCGCACCTTTAGTCGCGCCCAAGGGCCCTTAAGGCCTTGTCCAAGCCTCAACATCAATATCTAAAATTTTCTAAGTATGGGAGCAACCATGGGATCATAAAAATCAAGCACTATGCTCGGCCCAACCTCATGCCACGCGAGCAGCACACTTCCATCCAGCCCATGCGCCCAGGCCGCGTTGCCGCACCCAGCAGCCAGCGCCAGGCCCAGCGCCAGCCTTGGAAGCCCAACCAACCGAGCCCAATACTTGATGTTTTGGCCCAAATCTCCCATGGCTCAAGAGCTGCGAATATTAGGGGCTTAATAAGGGTTTAATTCAGCTCAATGAGCCCTAAGAAAAGCTTAACCAAAGTTAATTAGTGCCTAAGCAAATGGAGCATGTGCCACCATTATTTTAATCAAAGAAGTTTGTCCTTGTTCCCCACCATTTTGGATGCCCGACCAGATCTGCTTTTCCTCAGTAAAATAATCTTCAAATACCACCAAATGCTCTCCAAAAACCGTGCTAAAAGATGCCCCAAGACCACCCTATTTCCCCTGCACATGGAAGTTATGCAAAGTCATGAATTGTGTCCCCATTGACCAACCTAGCTAACTCTGCCCCCCTAGCCTATTTAAGACATTACTACTCAGCCTTTTGGAGCTCTTGGTCAGTTAGAAACTCGCATACATTGAGAGGAGAAGAGAAAAAATCGAGACTAAGGCACCAAGCCCGCGCGCGCACCACCAACCTGGGAAGAAGGACCACCGCACCCCAGCCACTTGCAGCCATAATCCCACGAGGCTTAGACATTTCTAAGTTTTTCTTAGATTTTTATAAGTCTTTTGAGACCATCAAGTTTGGCCACTTCCACTTCCAAGGCGAGCCAAACCTCCAAGGCCGAGCCTAGCCCTATTTCGAGCACCCTAGCCATTTTTCATTTTTGGTGGAGGTTAGCCCGAACCATCCTTCTCCCATAATTATTTATGATATTTTAGAATTTTTCATGTAGTTATTTCAAGCCATGCATGTGATTTAACCGAAGTTCTGAATTTTATAATTAAATGGCCTTAAAAATGAAATTTTAGTTCCATTCATGGTCAAGTCGATATTGTGAGTTAAATCACCCTCAAATATTATGTCATTCATGGTGTTAAAGTTTGAGCATGATTAGAGTTCATTACCTTGGTCATATTGTTCATGAAATTGTTCGATTTTGGACTCCCGAGCCTTAGTATTGTACATGTAAGATATTCCACATGCATTAGCCCCTATAGTCATCATTTTGGGTGTTAAACATTCGCACCTAAGTAGTTTTATAAGTTATGAAAGTTGGTTTGATGAGTTAGGGCTCGTAGGTGCCATATAGGCCCTCCCGAGCCACATGCAAAATGATCCGAGTCATCCTAGCATTTTATATGATAAATATGCTTTTTGTATCATATCATGATGTTATGTTATGCATGTCACCTTGGTCGCTGTCCGCGCACGTAGTGCGGTAGTGCCGGGCCCCAGTGCCTGCAGAGGCTAACCCCAGTCAGTGCCCGCACTCGGTAGGCGCGGCGCACAGCCCGCGTGCATGCAACAGCGCCCGAGTGCCCAGTGCGTGCCGTGTGCCCAGTAACCGCGCTAGTAGCGCCCAACACCCTTCGACAGCGCCCGGCAGCGCTGTCCATGCCCATGCATGCGTGGTTTCAAGCCAGCCGCTCCTACCCCGCGCAGATGTAAGCCCGAGTAGTGTCAGCATGCGTGGTGGCCGCACCCAGCAGGCCCAAGCCACGCGCACGGTGCCCGGCAGCGCAGTGCAAACCCCAGCGCACGAGGTCTCGCGCCAGAGCCTCGTGCCATGCCCAGTGCCGACCCAAGTTGGGTCTGTTGAGCCCAGTATGCCTCGGTGCATGGCTAACAGCAAGCCCGAGTGCCCAGTGACCTCGGGGACGCCCGGTAGTGCCCGTGTGGCCTCTGCCCGCGCCTAACCCGCGTCTAGCGGCACCTGTCCGTGCCCAGCCGCACGACAGGGCCTCAGTCGAGTCTTGGCCGTGCCCAGCGTGCACCCGAGAGGCACCAGCCGGTGCCAGGGCCATGCCAGCACCCTCTGGCTGTGCCTGTGCGCGCCCAGCGCGCGGCCAGTCAGCGAACCGGCCAGTTCGACCGGCTGTTTGAGTCCGTTTTGATTCGTGACTTCCGTTCCGAGTCTTCTTTCGGAATTTTAGTATTTTTTCGAGCCAAGCCAGTCCAGTCTTAGCATATAATAATCCGAGTATATTAGCATATAAATAAATATTCCGAGCATGATACTTAGCATTATTTTGTTTAAATGTTTATGTAGCCTAAGGAGAGTCGAGCCTCCGACCGCTATTCCAGTTTCAGCACTTGCATCAGTTCAGTTATCAGGTAGGGGTCATGTACTGGATTCCACATTATATATAATATTTGTACCATGGCAGAGGTATGTCCGAGACAGTTAGTTTTTCCAGGTGATTTGCCGACCTAAGGGCCTTTCGAGTTTTACCTGGTACCGGTGGAGGCCGAGGGCCTTAATATCCCATCGGGGTGTGCACACGAGCGGCCAAGGCCGAGGGTCTTTTGACCACAGTAAAGAAAGAAAAGAAAAGTTTACAGTTCAGCTCTTATATATTTATGTTCATGACACGTTATTATACATGATGTCTTATTCAGTACTGGTCTTTGCGGAGCATAGTGGTTTGCTCATGCCCCCATTGTGTTTTCTAGGAGACGGAGTCGAGCGTGCCGGGTGAGCTATGCGTGGTCATGACAGCGAGGACATTTTTATGCACATTTTATGTCCTTAACTTTATGATCATGTATCCATTCAGATATGTATGCATGTACTCTATGCATTTCTGTATTTCGGATGCTTCCACTAGCAGACTTTAGACTGTGCGAGACAGTTCAGACATTGCATGTGTGATTCCATATCTGTAGCGGATAGTTTGGTTGCATGTTTTATTTATGTCTGTGAGCAAGTTAAGTAAAGTTTTTATCTATGTCATCCCGCAACAAGTTAGTGTTTTCGAAAAACTAAGCTCGCACCACTTTTCGAAAACAAAAGCGAAAATTTTACTCTGATTTTTCAAAGTTAATAAGGCGGGGTGCCACATTAGCTATCTTTGTTGTTGTTTTTTATAGCTTTGTATGCTTAGCTAGACAAAGCTAGTGTATGTAGTGTTTGTTTGTACCAAAGAATAAGGTTCTATTTGCAATTAGCAAGTTTATGGTTGTTCAATG